TAGTGAAATTGGAAAAAAAATCTTAAAAAAAATCTTAAAAAAAGAAAAACAAAAATTTAATATAAAAATATAAAAATGAAAAAAAAATATATTTTTTTTTTTCATACTGTCACCAGTCAGTGTCCCTGATATCACCGGCTGCCAGTTTATATGATGACGCTGTAACTGCACTGGTGACAGTATGTAAAAAAAAAATAGTGAAAAATAATTTTTTTAAGAAAATACATTTTTTTAATTTTTTATTTTCAGAAAAAATTATGACAAAATAACAATACAACTTCAAAAAAAACTCGCCATGCCTCTTATGAAGTACGTCGGACTGTCTACTCTGCAAAAATATGGGGGTCATTTGGGGGATGTCTGTACTGTCCTGACATTTGGGGGATAATCGTGTACTGTTCTGACATTTTGGGGGAATATCTGTACTGTTCTGACATTTGGGGGATATCTTGTACTGTCCTGACATTTGGGGGGATATCTGTACCGTTCTGACATTTGGGGGATATCTGTAACTGTTCTGACATTTGGGGGATATCTGTACTGTCCTGACATTTGGGGGATATCTGTACTGTCCTGACATTTGGGGGATATCTGTACCGTCCTGACATTTGGGGGGGATATCTGTACCGTCCTGACATTTGGGGGATATCTGTACTGTTCTGACATTCTTGGACCTCAAGAAATTAGATTGGCTGCCAGTACTTCAGGATTGATCAATATTCAGATTCTATACCATAGTTTGTGAACTCTATAAACTTTCCTACAAACTAAATAATACATCCTAATTTGGGTTATTTTCACAACCTGAAAAATGGCCTGGACAGGAAGGGGAAAAGTGCCCAGTATGGAAGTGGATAAGAAAATACATTTCTGACAGCATGCTTGCTGTGCTCAGCATCCTCCCTCCTATTCCTTCTCTATTCCTCTTCTTCCCTTATCTCAGTTCCATCCTTTTCCTCTCCTCTCCACTTTTCCTATATCTTTTCTTCTCTTCCCTCTCAATTCCATCCTTTTTCCTCTCCTCTCCATTCTTCCTATCTCTTATCCCTTTCCTATTCTCTCTTACCTCTTTTCTGTTTCTTTCTCTTCATTTCTCTCCCCAGCCCCTTCACCTCTCTTTCTCCTCTTTTTTACCTCTCCACTCCATCTAGCCCTCCTTTCCTAACTGTTAGAAATTCTATTCTACAGAACTGACCGCGCACAGACCACATGTTTTCTGCTTCACTACAAGCAAGGAAATGGGAAACTTTATTCAGAGTAAAGACATCGGGGTTGATTCACTAAAACTGGAGAGTGCAAATCTGGTGCAGCTGTGCACGGTAGCCAATCGCCTTGTTCAATTAAGCTTTGACAAAAAAAAAAAAAAAACTGGAAGGTGATGGCGTCTATGCAGAGCTGCTCCAGAGTTTGCACTCTCTAGTTTTAGTAAATCAACCCCAGAGTATACCATAGATGCAGTTACAAACTTAAAAACACTGCCATCTATTGGTTGAAAAATATATCTCTACTGAATAGTGATGTAGTTGCACAAAATACATAAACACTGTATTCCAGCACCCCACTCAACAACTACTCCTTATATTAGTCCCATTTCAGATCTTGGTTCTATAAATCTGTTCTTTGTCAGCGAGCAGTTTTAGGTAGCTCTGAAAGTGTCCATGTCTGCAGTTCACTAAGAGATGTCATCTCTTCATCAGCAGCTCTGATCCAACTTTGTTTCTCATGGGTTGGAAGTCTTTGCATCTGATCCCATGAATCTGGCTCTGGTTTTAATTCTACATGAGCAACATAGGACAAACGTTTGGCTGGGATGCCTTTTATTACTTCTGGAGGATTTCCTGATTGAAGCCTCTCATGGCCTGGTTTCTTCTTTTAAAGTAATTGAATTGTCTGTGTTAATTTTATTTCTGTGTCACTTTGTTGCTTATCTTCATTTGACACTGATGTGGAATTTCCAGTTTTTTCAGTTGAAAGCATTTGTGTTCATGAAATGTTGAACACACTGCAGTTTCATCGACAATTGCACTTCTACTGATGGTTACCTAGTTTGTGTCTTGGTGTAGAATTCTGTATCCCTTTTGAGATTCACTGTACCCTGCAAGTACACCTTTCTTTTGGGATGTGCATATAGGCTTTGCTTCCCAAAAATTTTAGATGGTTTATATTTCATAGTTCATATAGAGTTTTCTCAGCTAATTTTCCTGGTAGTCCCTTTTTTGGAGATGGCATGCGGTCATAATTGCCTCCCCCAGTATGTGGTTGGCATATCTGCATTCAACAGCATGGTTCTTCCACTCTCACATAGAGTACAGCTCATTCCTTCTGCAACCCTGCTTTTTGTTCTGGGTTGTATGGTACAGTAGTTTAAAATATTATGCCATGCTTTCTGAGAATCGCCTGTGTATTATCACCTGTATATTGAGCTCCATTGTCTGTGCGCATTACATTCTGCAATTTGCCAAATTTGTTGCTTACGTGATCCAAATGTTGTTCAAGTTTCTCTGGCAATAAATATTTTTTTCTTTCTTACATTTTTCTTTTTTATACAGCTGGTGCATTTCATTGTTTGATCACATGGACTAATTTTTATTCCACTTGCATAGTCATTCTCAGTTAATTTCTTTATTATGTCAGCACTTTTGTGCCCAATCTGTCTGTGCCCTGCAGTTTGAATTTTTTTTCCTCCTTGGTAGTATCCATCTCACTGTAATGTTAGCCTTTTCAAGCAAGATATCTCTTTGTGATGGCACAACTAATCTTGGCAGCTCACTACATTGCTTTGTTTTTATGAGCTTCTTCACTGATAAAAGATTAGTTTCAAGAGCAGGGACACTCTGGGAAATAGGACAGTAAAGAAAATATCTCCTATTCCTTCTGATTCCATTATTTGCCCATTAGCTATGGTGATTTTTTTCTGTTTTTACTCTGGTCAAGGTGAATAAACACACCATGCCTGTGTAGCACCACCCCCTTAGGAGTTGCAAGAGATTTGGGTCCCCCTATAGCCCTGCACAGCCAGGCAATACACACTTTCCTTCACTCAGACTTGCAGTAGGAGACAGTAACCAGTCCTTGAGCTTTGTTTTGAAGTTTTTTTTTACTGAAGGGTTTAGAACTTGGATGGGGTAAAGGGGTGTATGGGATTCCCAAGGAATGGCAACTGAGGACAAACTCCTTAGCAACTATGTACAAGTCTTTACAGCAAAGTTTTTCTTCTGGAGAGCTAGCTAGCATCTCCTGTAGTACCACCCCAGATGTCTCCTCTCCTCATCCAGCTGTACTGGATGAATCCCTGGGCAGGAGATCCACTGCAGTGTGAAACAGTCCCGGGTAATATAGCAAATCCAGTTCCCCACTACAGTGCTCCTTCCCCCTTACTGGCTCAGGGGGTGCAGGTTTGCTCACTTGGTCCCTCTTCTGTGTTGTCGGTGGATACTACCAGGCCTTCTGCTGCTGGCCACTCCTTCCCTGCCACACAGGTGGTTCTCTTTCAGGGGGCCAGTGAAGTCCAATGTTTTCCACCTTCCAAGGTCCTCTGTCTGCAGGTGAGCCCCTTTCCATCTGGGCCTCCTCACAGGCTCCTGCCCCCAGCCTCACATCCTTCTCTCTCTCTTCCACCTGAACTCTTCTGCTGCTGATCAGGCTCAGTCACATTAAAGGGTTGCCCTGGCCCCTTGTCAAGCTTCCTCTTGGGGATTAGCCAGGATCGCCTAAGAGTACAAACCAGCCACTTCTCAGATCCACCAATTGCTTCTAGACCTTTCCCCTGGAGCAGGGGGGAAGGCTGGTCTGCAGAGCCTCTCAGCTCCTGACCCAAATTTAACCTTCTGACTATTGCACCTGTACAGCTACTCAGCCCCTGACTGTCAATTTAGGATCTAGCTCCCCCTAACTACCTAGGAGGGCACTACACCTGCAAAGATGAGGTCCAACTTTTGGATTGCAAAACATATTCATTATCTAAAGAAAACTGTTTTTCTTACTTCACACTTTTGGCCTTTTGCAGTTTAGTTCGATTTTGCATTCCAGCTTTCCAGATTCTGCAATCTGCTTTTAAAGTACCTTGTTTTTTGCACACGTAGCAATCAAGTGTTTTCTTGTTGCATGTTACTGTTTTTTATTTTTTTCATTTTTCATCTTTAAAGCAGACCTTGCAACAGAAGCACCGTTACTATTAATGCTGTTTTGCACTTATATTCATCCACCAGCTTGCCCTTACACATTCCATTGTCCATTCATTATTTGGATATGCATAAAGTGCTATGGTAAGCGTTTCATAACTTTTCTGGTAAACCTCTAAAAGTGATAGTGCTGCGACATGAAAATCTTTATTTCTTCTCCTATAACTCACAGGCGTTAAACCATTTCCATGGTGTTGCCTTATGTAATCCTGCATATCCTGGCTTTTCATCAGCTTGGTTTGGTATAATCAAAAACAGTTTATTGCTGAGATTAGCTCTTTCATGCAGCTTTTGTAATCCTTCCCACATTTCTTTAGCAGTTTCATACTTGGCGTAGAAGATGATCAAATCATACATATATTTAAGAGACATTTGAATTCCGAGCTTTCTGATCTTTCTCTTTCCACTCCTCCTGAAGGGTGTTATGGCCTGACTTACTTTATACATTTCCACATACAGTCATGGCCAAAAATATTGTCCCCTCCTGCATTTGGCAGATAATGCACCACTTCGCACAGAAAATTGTTGCAATTACAAATATGTTCGGCATTCTCATGTTTCTTTTGTTTGTATTGGTATGATACAAAAAAGTGGAGAAACAAAAAGCCAAATCTGACACATTCCACGCAAAACCCCAAAAATGGGCTGGACAACATCAATTTAATATTTGTTAGCACGTCCCTTGGAAAAAAAATAACAAATTAATGGCTTCCTGTAACCATCAATGAGTTTCTTCCACCTCTCTACTGGAATTTTTGGAGCGCTCTTCTTTCTCCAACTCTCCAGGTCTCTCAGATTGGAAGAGTTTCCTTTTCCCAACTGCTGTTCTGTGATCTCTCCACAGGTGCTCTATGGGATTGAGATCTGAACTCATTGCTGGCCAGTTCAGTCCTCTCCAGCGCTTTGTGTGAAACCATTTCTGGGGGCTTTTTGATGTGTGATTTGGGTCATTGTCCTTCTGTAAGACCCATGACCTCTGATAGAGACCCAACTTTCTGACACTGGGCCTACATTGCCTCCCAGAATTATTTGGTAGTCTTCAGATTTCATAATGCCATGCACATGGTCAGGACATCCAGTGCCTAAAGTAGCAAAGCAACCCCAAAACATCAGTGTAACCCCCCCCCCCCCCCACCATGTGTGACTGTAGGGACTGGATTCTTTTCTTTAAAGGCTTCATTGTTTTCTCTGAAAACAGTAGAATGATGGGCTTTACCAAAAGGCTGGAATTTTGTTTCGTCTGTCCAAAGCACATTCTCCCAGAAGGATTTTGGCTTCCTCAGGTAAGTTTTGGCAAACTCCAATCTGGCTTTTATATGTTTTTGTGTCAGCAGTGGGGTCCTCCTGGGTCTCCTCCCATAGTGTCCCTTTTCATTCAGATAGGGAGAGCTGTAACAAGTTGTACCCTGGAAGTTCTTTATCCACCAGTCAAACAATTCTTTGTTGCAATCTTTGATCAATTTTTCACTTTTGTCCATGTCCAGGGAGATTAGATACAGTGTCATGGGCTCTAAACTTGACAATGTTGCACACAGTGGACACAGGAACATTCAGATCTTTGGAGATGAACTTGCAGCCTTGAGATTGTCATGCTTTTCCACACTTTTTGTTCTCAAATCCTCAAACAATTCTGTGCTGCTCTTTCTCTTCTCCATGCTCCATGTGGCACAGACGCACAACAGAAAGGGTTACATT